GGTAAGTTTTGCCAAATTCGATCGCTTATATAGCTGGCTTAACTCTGGGGGCCATTTATAGATGATAGCTCAGAGATGATACATGAATATCGTTGGAATGTCCAGAGAGAACTCGTCAAGGAGTTGGCCAATGTCACCACCCAACTGCTCCCTGCGGGCAAAGGCGTTGGGCTACGTTTTGTTAATCGTGAGGTTGATATATTCCCTAACCTCGCAGTTGACCAGGTGAAGAAGATATTGGATTCCACGCCATTGAGTCCCGGTGGCAACACTGCAATTGGCACAAACCTAAGATCTAGAATTCTCCAGCCGCTAGTCTACAGCAAATTCAGTTCCCAGAGACTTGATAGGCCGCTGCTCATAATCATTACTATTGGTCGTTATCCGGGGTTTAGAGCTGAATCTGAATTTGTGAACGCTATCAACGAATGCGGCAGGAAGCTAGAATTCGCTGGATACCCCCGCCGCAGTACGTAATGTTCTGCACACCCTCTCTTTCCCATATTCCTAATTGATGAACCTGCAGCTGTGATGTTTATGATCTATCAAGTCGGAACAAGCGAAATGACTTCGCAATTTGTACGACGCCTTAAGGATGATCCTGATCTCTTTCCTATGGTATCCGTATTCTCGGAGTGGGAAGGTAGGTCAACACTTCTTCTCTGCATGCCAATAATATGCCACCTAATGTTCTGAAGGTGGTGTCACGATGAGGCACCTCAAAGGCAATTATCTCCAAAGACCTATCTTTGAAGTGAGTCCGGTCTTTCATTGAACATCTCTAGCTCATCTGCCCGCTTGTCGTCTACTTACAAGTTCTATTTTCTTTCAGAGAATGATGTACCCATCTGATTTCCTCCAACTGTTTGGGACTAAGTCATCTTAACTGGCTACAGGAGTTTGAGACTGGTGTTGTTTATCTTGTCCTTGACATGATGTCCCTCCTTGAAGCTAATAGCAACGTTGGTGGCTGATTTAATGTGCCAGCGTAATTGTTTGTATCTAGTTACAGGCAGGGTATTGACTGCTTCATTCTGTCTGCTCGAGATATAGCATATTTCAATGACTGGTCTCAGTCGTGGTCGCCATGAGGCTTAATAAGGGCAAAACTATGGGAGCAATCTGAAATCCTCCTAAGAGACTAATAAACTAGGGATGCCTCCAATAACTGCAGCGGTGCCCAGAACCATCTCAATAACAAGCAAGTCCATCTCAGTTGATAGTATCAGATGATAAGCCATTATCGGCATCTGTGGCAGTGAGATGGAAGATTGGCCGATAGAGAAGATGATTGGCAGACGCCAAGCATATGGACGTCCTGGCTGCATGACTGGCCGCCTCATCCCTGAGCCCTTGGCATCATTTATCTCTGCCTTTATCAACAACAACCAGAAATGTTTCGGCTTCAGTCACGTACTTGTCTACGATCCAGTATACGTGCAAATCTTTTCATATCCTCACGTAATCTACTCTTGCGCCATAGAGTCTTACCTAGTACGTCTCATCGAGTCGCATGCAAATCAACATCCACGATCGCGTCTACCAATCCAGCTATCCAACGCGTATTTCTTACATCGGAATTTGAGGCCATTGATCCAACAGAAGAGGTTGAGGAAGAGACTCTACCGACTTACGATGTCGAGAAATACTACCCAGTCCGCCTCGGGGAAGTTCTGGATGGCCGATATCAAGTCGTTGCCAAATTGGGCTATGGTGTCACATCTACAGTCTGGCTCGGTCGCGATCTAAGGTACATTCAGTCTAGTGGATATTTCCAGCTTCGGGGTCCTTTGCTGAAAGTGTGACCTCAGTGACTCCAAGCATGTCGCTTTGAAGATCTATGTTTCTGGTACTATGAAAAATAGCAACGAACTCGCCGTATACGAACGCATAAACGCAGTTGAAACAGACCATGCCGGAAAGAATCTCATCCGTCAACTATGGGATTACTTCTTCCTAGAAGGTCCCCATGGCCGTCACATGTGTCTCGTGCATCAACCGCTCGGACTTAGTGTCGACCAATTCTTGTACTTCTTTCCGGGAAGGGTGATGAACCTCGACGCTTTGAAGCCTTGCCTGCGGCAGGTATTGGGTATAGTTGATTTTCTGCACACTGAGGCTAGGGTCATACACACCGGTAAAGTGCTACACTATTAAACATGCAGAACCTTTTTCTTCTATTTCTGACCATTATGCAGATCTACAATTGAAGAATCTCCTACTTCCCGGAGATCCTAAGAATTTCTCGGGTCTCGAAGACTCGGAGATTGAGGCGCCTTCGCCTAGGAAAATAGTCGGCCCTGAGCGCACAATCTACACCAGCCATATCGTGATCCCCGGCAATGGGTTACCATTGCTCAGTGACTTTGGAGAAGCTCGATTCAGTGATGAAGAGCATGACGAGGATATCATGCCAAATATTTACAGGGCTCCCGAAGTGGTGCTAAAGATGAACTGGGATAGCAAGGTTGATGTGTGGAGCATTGCCTTGATGGTGAGAGATTATGCTTATCGAGTGCACCCTTCATGTAGCTTATACTTACTTTCATCCAGGCCTGGGACATGGTTTGTGCCCGAACACTATTTGATGGTAGAAACAGTGATGGTATTTTTGATGATCGAGTCCATCTTGCGGAAATGGTTGCGATTATGGGACCACCTCCCACTGACTTCATTAAGCGAAGCAAAGTAGGCTCGGTATTTTGGGATGAGAATGGTATGTTGCCAACTGAACCAGCTGTTTGACATGAAGCTCGGCTAAAATCTTACATTCAGGCAAATGGAAGGACCTTGCACCGGTGCCGAAGATGACACTTGAGGAACGGGCGGCTGATATCCAAGGACCTGACAAGGAAGCATTCTTAAAACTTATGCGAAGGGCATTAACATGGGACCCGAAGGACAGGCCAGCTGCCGGAGAACTGATATTTGATGAGTGGCTTATGAAGGGATTGCAGCTCCCTGCTCATCTGTCGAAGGACACCTAAAAAGTTGTGATGCGATTTATTTTGCTAGTTTAATTGTAAAGTGTCGAAATTGGCGAATCATACCTCTTATAGCGCACCAGAGGAACTCTTCCTATTTGTAGCCTTGAAGGCGTAGTTGGGCATTTAGGTAGTAGGTGCTTAAGTGAAAGTGGAGCCGGCGGAAGAGTTGGGGAAAAAAAGACCGGGCTGGTGCCTGAGGATTCGGAATCCAGAACGGCTTCCGCATTTGGGATTCTCGTTCTTCTTTCCGCCGACCAACCGTTCATCCAACCTCACATCAGTCCAGCCATCATGTCGTCCCGCACCGTCTGGAGGAGCCTCCAATTGCAAGCCCGGAGACGATTTATCGTCCCGGAGACATCATACCGCTGTTTCTCCTGCACACGACATGCCCAGGATCCGCCCAAGGTCAACCAGGATGATCGCATGACCCATTTCGGCTTCCAAAATGTTCCTGAAGCGCAGAAGGAGTCTTTGGGTAGGTTTATCTAGGAACATTTGCATCTATAGAATTGGATAAAGAAAGATTTTACTAACGTTTGTCTCAATGTTTAGTGGGAGCCGTCTTCAGCTCCGTTGCCTCGTCCTACGATGTGATGAACGACATGATGTCGCTGGGCATCCACCGTCTGTGGAAAGATCACTTTGTCCGCTCTCTCAACCCCGGATCCGCACTTCCCTCTCGCGAACACGATACGGCCGGCCGTGGTTGGAACATTCTCGATATCGCCGGCGGGACGGGCGACATCGCGTTTCGCATGCTGGACCACGCGACGAACATCAACAATGACCACGAGACCCGCGTAACGATCGCCGATATCAACCCGGACATGCTGGCGGAGGGTCAGAAGCGCAGCGTGCAGACGCCTTACTACAACACAAACAGACTGTCGTTCATGCAGGGCAATGCGCAGTCTATGCCTTCCATTCCGGATAACTCGGTGGACCTCTACACTGTTGTTTTCGGTATCCGCAACTTCACGGATAAGCAGGCAGCCCTGAACGAAGCGTTCCGTGTGCTGAAGCCCGGTGGTGTGTTTGCCTGCATGGAGTTCAGCAAGGTCGACAATGCCCTGTTCAATGCGGTCTACAAGCAGTGGAGTTTCAGCGCCATTCCCATGATTGGTCAGCTGGTGGCCGGTGATCGGGACAGCTACCAGTACTTGGTGGAGAGTATTGAGCAGTTCCCTAGCCAGGAGGAGTTCCGCGGCATGATCCAGAAGGCTGGCTTCATGATCCCGGGACGTGGCTTCGAGAATCTGACTGGGGGAATTGCCGCTATCCACAAGGGTATCAAGCCGCTTAACCGGGCTTAAGAGGGGCAACTGAAAGGATGGATGGATGGATGAATTGTTTCAGACAGTGTACACTAGCATTATCTTTTCGCCACTGTAATAATATTGATAGTCAAATATTGACATGGAAGACAATTGAGCGTGTCCGGAACGGCAGCGGGGAATGGATCTGCAAGACATCAGCAGCGTTGCGGATGGTGTGATGGCGGATTCCGAATGGCCGGGCGGAGACCGACTAAGTAGGGGTTTAGAACTTAGAAGAGCGTAGAAGGATGCATGCGTCGGGATCTAGAAGGTGGTGCAAAAGGAAGACCAGATTTCATTTCTAATCGTTCGGGGAGGTGGTCAGCTCTAGCAAGCGGATTGGAGAAGGACATCCGATCCGAGGCAACTTTTCTTTATCTCTAATATCCGTAGTAGTAGTCTAGATAATCCCATCACCAAAATCAGCCACCCGGGCTTTCCCTTCCCTCCTCTCTTCTTTTCCCCCCTCCACTTTTTTTGTTTCTGTTTTGCCCCCCACCATCGGATTTCTCCTCCTTTCCCCTCTTCAACTGCGTCTCCAGGTTCGCGTCCGGGATCTTTCTTCCCAGGCTTACCTCCTGGGAGAAAGGCGCCGTCTCACTCTCTTTCCCTCTCTTTCTCTTCCCCACCACAGAATGGTTTCATGACCATGGGGCACCTGAAGCAGCCATTCGCGATCCCGCTGTCGCCCGCCATGCCCCTCCCGGAGTCCAACCCCTCCATCCACGATGATTTCCTCCTTCCGATGACTCCTCCAGATCCCTCCGAAGTCCCGCTAATGGGAGCCAAGGACACTGCGCCCGTGGCTTCAGCCCTGCAGGTTATCGCGGCGGAGCGCGCCGCTCTGGCGCATCTGGAGCACATCTACCAGACCGATCCGTTGGCTCAAGATAACCTCGCGCGCGCGGTGGCTCAGATCGTACGCACCATCAAGCATGGCGGGAAATTGGTCTGCTGCGGTGTCGGCAAGAGTGGCAAGATCGCTCAGAAACTGGAAGCCACCATGAATAGTATGGGAATCTACAGTGCCTTTCTGCACCCCACGGAAGCCTTGCACGGCGACCTGGGCATGATACGACCGGTAAGGATGTCCTGGCCTGGCCTATGTTTGAGGGAGAACCACACACTGACTGGAATTGAATGCACCAGCATGATACACTATTGTTAATATCTTTCTCGGGCCGCACTCCGGAGCTTTTGCTCATGCTTCCTCATATTCCTTCAACCGTTACGGTTATTGCTATCACTTCCCATATGGTCTCGTCGACTTGTCCTCTCCTTTCTTTCCACCCGTCAAACATGGGGATCCTCTTGCCGGCACCGATCCATGAGGATGAAGAGACCTCGATCGGCGTATGTGCCCCGACCTCGTCCACCACGGTAGCCTTATCGCTGGGAGATGCACTGGCTATCGCTACGGCTCGGCGGCTACATACAGCTCCTGGCAGAGGACCGGCGGAGATCTTCAAGGGCTTCCACCCTGGCGGTGCTATCGGCGCTGCATCCATGGCTTTGACGCCTATGAGCATGTCGTCCGCATCAAGTTCTGCCGCCCCATCAGACTATATTCCAGCCCAACAGACCACGAACTCATTCCCGCAGTCAGAGGGCAAACCCAATCAGCGTCCACTCGTCCGTGACATGCTCGTGTCACTCGATCAAATTCCCAGGGTGTCTGTCTCGGGTAAAGTCCGTCTTCTGGACATTCTCCTCACTGCAATCCAGCACCCCAACGCCAAGTCATGGGTTCATCTCTCACCGTCCGAAATCGTGCCCCCACGGCATCTCCGCTTCGTCTCCCAGAGCAACTATGTAGATATGCACGTTGCTGCCTTCACTGAACTGGGTCTACCTTTTGGGGTCTCCCGCAAAGACTGGTTCCGCCTTACGAGCTCGAGCACCATCGATGACGCGCGCCGGCTGGTCTCCGAGGCCGGTGCATCCTCAGGCACCCCCGTGACCGTGGTAGCCGTCATGGACGATACCAACCCCGACCACTGTCTCGGGGTCATAGAAGCTGAGGATCTATGGAATGATTGTGATGACTAAAAAATATTTATATCCCCTCCCCACTCTGAACCTCCTGATGATGTATATGAATATGAACTCATGCCTGATTTTTGTTGTGTCCTTTTGCCTTTTGTCTTATAAATTTTCCGTTTCAACCGCAATAGATAGCTTTGGGGACATGTATCCCATACCTGGAATAGGTTTGTCTGCTGGTGGGGTATGTCATTATGTTGCAACCTCAGCAGGTTTCAATCTTCGACTTTTCGGGTTGTCTATATTTCTCACTTACATATTACTACTATTCTTGTGGGATCCCTGTTGCTGTCCATACCCACCTTCATACATACAACTTCAATCACTCCGCGTTCTTTGTGGATTCAGTATAGAAGACTTATCATTCTTACTATTTAGCACTAGATACCCGATCTCTCACGATCATGACAGCAGGAAAGGAAAATGGTACTTGTTTTGTTTGTTTGTCCGATCTCAAGTCTAATTCTACCATCATCTTTGTAGGTAATCATCTAACGTATCGGTACACATATCTCAAAAGAGCCAGAAGCAAGATAAACAGGGTATAAACATCATCGTTGGGACATGATAGCAGCACACAAAAAGCAGGCCGATAAAAAAAGGAGGGAGGCAGAATATTAATCTATGGTATCTTCAACGCATTACTCGTAACAGTGCGGAACGCCTGATATAATCAAAAGGACATAGCATCAAAACATGACCTGAGTTCTTTTCTTTTGGAAACCGACGTCCACCATTATAGGTGGGGAATATGGAAGGGGGTGGTTCATGTCCCGTTTCACCGTGGTATCCGTGCCCGGTCGGAATCAAAGGGGCGCGGATGTCACTGGAGTGGTTTATCAAGCACATTTTGAAAGAGGCAGGGTAACAAAATGATGAACGAAGAGAGAGAGAAGAGGTCTATGATACAGCGGGAGATGTGATGATGTCTCCGGCACCAGGCCGAGATATCCCGCGCGGTCTTTGGACTAGGTATCTCAATGAGTTCATGAGACGACCGGGGCTGACTCTGTTACAATGGATGCCCATTTGTTCTCTTTCTCTCTCTTCCGCCTGTGCTCGAGTCTTCCTGTGGTGGTGAAAGCGGAACGACTCGGATAGTTCGTTTCAAAGCGGGGAGTGGAAATCACCGGAAGGCGATTCACCCCGACGATCCGGGTTCTTGTCGGCCTTTGCCCTTGTCGGTTGATGCTGTGCTGTCGTCCTTGTAGAGGTTGTGTTGTTCGATATAATGGATTACAGGGACGGGAATCAGGTACCGGACGCTCATGTCACGTCTCAGGAACAGACGGATCTTGGTGCTGCTGACGTCATTTTGGATGAGTTGTTGAATGACATGGATGTTTTTCTTCCACGTTTGCAGGGCAGCGAGCGCTTCGTCAATGTCGGTTCCGGTGCGTTCCACGATGAAAGTCTGGGAAGAGTATTAGCGGAGATCCCGAAAAAAGGATGCAAAGGGGCAAGAAACATACGCCGTATTTTCCGAGAATGTGGTCAAGATCCTTTTCGCTCCAGACTCCAGGAGTTGACATGGTATGGACCAGATCTGCACCTGCCAGCAGAGCAATCTGGATGGGCTTGCGAGTACCATTGCCGGCCTCGATGCCCTGTCGTACAGTGTTGATCTCATGATCGAAATGGTCCAACACCACGGCTGTCGGTTGGTACTCCTTCTGCATCGGTTCCCACGTATCAACCATCAGCCAGTCAGAGGTCTGATCCACGGCGAGTTGGCACATAGCGACACTGTTGAATTCATTGCAGTTAGCGCATGAACGAAGGCGGATGGTGCGGAAAGTACGTTTGGTAGGATGGTAGGGTGGGACATGAGTGTCTTACCGATGTTCAGCGCTAGCCAGACCGGCCTTACGATAGGCGTCAGACACGGGGGATAGGTAACCCCCGACCAGCTCAAAGTCCGTGCTGAATTTGACGTAATCGGCGGCCATTTCGAACATGCGCAGGTGCAGGTAGGTGATGGGTGAGAAGGAGCCACAGGCCACCAAGAGAAGCGGGGTCTTTTCGGGGTCGTCCATTGTGCGCTTCAGACGAAGCTCCGGGAAGGTGTAGTCGTCCATCGGAGCCGGAGGCAAAGGCGAGGATCGCCGGTGGACATCGTCACTGATTGCGTCGGTCATGGTTGCAGATGAGAGGCAGAATGGTGTCCCAGAGTGGTGGGAGAGGCTGGGAGGGACCAAATCTGGCCCAAAATCGATGGAAATTGGTTGGGAGAATGAGTCGGAGACAGACGGAAGAGAGATCAGGAGGGATGGAATGGCGAAGAGAGATGATATGGACGATGGATGAGATTTGAGTTCGCCGGTAAAAGGATGGGATGCGGGCGCAGGGGGGTTAGTCAGCGTGGGGGAAATGCAAGAGGCGGGCGGGGAAGAAAAAACGACCAAGACGGACGTTCGGTGTGCCTCGGGGCGCGATCACATCATCAATTTCACCGTATTGAGCATTTACCACCGAGCCCCATCTTACTTACTCTTATAGTATTGTCCCGCATCCTGGACGCGCAGGCAATCATGGTGTGCCTAGCAGGCTGTCATTCTCCCACCTAGCTCACCTGGAGTGTTTGACTCGACATAATAACGAGAATGGCACCCCAAAGTGGTATATGTCCGTCACATACCCACATACCCGGTAACCGGCTATCTATCTCTCCATCGATCGGGCCCAGCACAACAGCCCTGTGAGGGGGTACTTGATGTCTGTCATCCATCCTATTTCATGTTTAACCCCTCAAGGGCCGGTCTGGAAGGCATCCCTTGAATTAATCTCCCTACAGGATTCTTCTCTCCCAAGCCAGTCATCTCCAATCCACACTTCCTATAACAGTTGTTGGCAGACATCCCCCAATTGATTAGATTGGAGTGAGTCACCATCCCCCTGGCGACAGTCCACTCACTCCGCATGGTTCGGGAAGAACTGCTTCGCCTATCTACTCCATACACGGGCAGAATTACCCTGTCTTGCCGCAAGATTTTCCCAAAAGAATCTAGGTCATCAAGGTGGAGACCAGCCCGACGCTATAGCCGTTACGGTGCTGTCTATGGCTCCATTAGGCATAACTATCATCCTCCTCAACTCTTGCATGCATCGTGAATTAACCGTGGATTAACAGAATCAAAGCTGTTCACACATCCGACCGGGTAATGAATCCGAGGCACGCACGCGATAAGATTCAATGAACCCCCCGCGCAGATGCAATGCAGTCATCTGCAGTTCTGCACTGGGTGGAATGTCACAGATGTGATGCTCTGATAGGGAAAAAAATGCAGATCATGGCAGTATGGCGCAACACCAAGGTACTTACCGAGAAAATTTGCCAGCTCTCTGCATCGATCAGGAGGAGGCAAGCCAAGTGGTCTGTTCGCCTATGTGCAGTTTTCTCATATAATACATAAAGTACCATATGGGTATGTTTATTATGATTATCACTGCCCCCCAGGTAGCCAATTATAACTTATAAATAGTGTCAAGGAGTATCAGCAAGGGGCCTGTCACGCTACCCATTTACAGTATGGATTTCATGTGAATGTAGTGATAGTAGGTATTACTGAAGATTTGGTGATGGCACCTTAGTGGTAACCTCCCGATGTCTGTGGATTGCAACATTACTATTACTAGTGCTAGGAAATAGCCCAAAGCGGGATATGCATTTGCGCGTTCAAGTCCGACCACAGGCTACATCAGGAACGGACATGGTTGATGGCTACTGAAGAAACCATATACATTTAGCGGGGCTGCAGCAGATTAATATGAGGATTAATGATATATACAGCCATTCTAGCCCTTTGGTCCTTGGCTACTGGGATGGGTCATGTTATTAATCAGCTTCTACGGCAGATAACTAACTACTGGACACACAAGAGTACATGAAGAGGTCAAACCCTGTTGACCGCGTTGGTCCAGGTGAACTAGTTAGATAAATTATCCAGCCCAAAATTGTGGTTTATTCCGCACCGAAAACCCCAACAGTTTGGGGCTTTATATAGGAAAATGCCGTAACCTCTCTAGTGGTGGTAGATAGTGGTTGAGGCTGCACTTTGGCTGTCTGACGCCTTCCGGACTGGCTTCCTCAGGCCGGCGTCACTCACCACCGCCAACCACGTCAATCATCTTCCCCCCCAAACTCCGTCCTTCACCATCACCTCATCCACCACCACTTCCATTTCACCCCGATTCACGTTCCTCTGTTCTCAACAACGACCCTTAACGATCATCTGCACTTTCTGGTATATATTATTAATTGATCACTCCTTTGTTACCAGTGAACACCTTTGTTCTCTCAAGTATCGCCCCCTTCACGTCCTCCCCCGATCGGCCGTCCCTCAGCTACAACCCTCCCCCGGATCGTCGACGGAACCCAATTCGCCATTCTACCCACGCTTGGTCAACTTCCCTAGGGTAACGGATGGCGGGTTAACGGTGACAAGTGACGAGCGAGCCCTCCTTATCTAGCTCTCGTTAGCAATCGACATATGGCCAGACAAAGGCCCAGTGCTCACCGCCAGGACCCTCTTGAGGACTCTTCCACTCAGCCAACCTCTGCTGGACCTTCCGCCACTGCCGCTAGGTACATACCTGATCTCTTTGCCCTTCACTCTTTGGCCCTGTGCCCTGTGACCTGATCTTGGATTCTTTCCCCTCTTTCGTGGTACCCCCGCAAGAGCCCGTTCCCTACAGGCCTGTCCAACTGTTTGGGTGGATGGAGAGCTCTACCCACCAGCTGCGTACTTGACGGGAACCATCACCGTCATAATCGTTTGCTATCTGGGTCGGGTGGGAATTCCCCTCATCACACTACAAGCTGTTTTCATCTTCATCCTGATCGCACACACGACACTCTCCACCTCTGTCCCACCCACATCCTGGAAGTGAACGTTTTCTCATGTCCTCCAGAATCACTCGCTCCGCCGCGAGAGTAGCTGCAGACTCTCTTCCGTCTACCGGCTCCGGTCCCTCTCCTGCGAACGCGGCCGCTGGTTCGGCTTCAA